AACCATCAATTGTAACATCTTTAAACATATCCCATAATGCACCTTTACTTCATCACCATGGTGAGTGAGCACTGGCTTTTGGCATGTGGATTTATGCAGCACCCTGAGGGCTGACAGCTGTTACACTGTTCTAGTTCTATACACAGTAAGATTGCGAGTCGGCTCTCTGTACACACAGGTTAAGCATATTTGTCTTGAACAGTGTATCTATTTGCCCTAAATGATTCACTTAAATGTGGCAGAGTTCACGCATACACCCACCAGTCCAGGAGGACAAATGAACAGGAAAAGAAACATTGGCTCCTCAGAGTGTCAGGATAATCCCTGGCAACAGGACCACTGACCAGCGTGGGAACAGAGGTCGTCTTTGATAGCATTTACTGGATCTAGCAGTGATTTCCATATTTGCAGTGCAATTTTAGGTCTAATACTTTTATAATAGAGAACACCAACGGCTAGATGTCAAACTTTTTTAGTAGTACAAAAAATCCCATTCACTGAACACGTTGATCTTTTGTTGACTGCATTCCAACATACCTGTGCCAAGATGTAAGATATCATACTGGCCGTCCTCGGCATCAACCCTATCAACCACAAGCTTCTTCAGCCTGTAGGGGGTGTTGATCCGAGTGAAGACAGGACGCCTATGGATGGGCATCACTGGTTCCCACATCAGCTGATGGGTCCTCATGAAGCTCACAACATCATCTGGGAAATCTCGGGTGGACTTGTGCAAAGGGTCATAGGTTTCACTTGGACACTGAAGAGATATAGGAACTTTAGTTAAGCTTATATTCTGAAACCCTGTGGGGACTGAATTTGGAGTAACAGTCCCAGACTAAGGTAAAAATAGTCAAAAACATTTACGCAGATGTGGATTTTGGCCACTGTTCGAGATCATATTGGGGCAAGCATAATAATTCTTATTTATTCATATTAAGACAAGCAGTTTTGAAGGAATCTTCTGTTGTCATGAACAATTTGGTTTAGCGAAACCCCTCAAAACATGACATGTTATACATATAGCATGATCTAGTATGATAAACTTGCTTTCTCACCTTGCCTGTGCAAAATCAAGTTTTTACCAGCTTTTTCCTTGTAAAACCAATAAACATGGTGACCTTCAAACGATATGCGCAAAGGAAAGAGCATGTCTGAATGAAATAAACTCAAGTAGATCTATTTTACTATGTGTGAAACAAGTCTAAAATATATTAATTGCACTTTCTAGTCCAGAGGTGTCCAAACCTGTTCCTGGAGGGAGTTTAGCTCCAACCAGCCTTCACACACTTGCCTGGATGTTTCTCGAAATCGTGAAGACCTTTATGAGCTGATTCAGGTGTATTTATTTATTTTAGGTGCTAATCTTTGCAGGACACTGGACCTCCAGGAACAGGTCTGGACACCCCTATTCTAGTCACCAAACCCCATAGTTTGAAAGGGTTTAGCTGTCAACTCACAGTTGAGGTCAGCTTCGTGGTTATGACTTCGGCAACTAATGGAGCAGACCTCAGAGCCCTGATAATTGACTTCCTTTTGGTGACCTCATCACTAAAAGTCCACACTCTAGCCACTTCACTAACCGCAATGACGCGTGACTCCCAGAGTGCCTGCCAACATTTTTACAACCCCCTTGAGGCAGTGCAGCTAGTGCATGGAGTGGCTGGCCACATGGTTTCCAAGCTGCCCCAACATATCTGCAGTCCAGTATCAATCGTAGACCTCAAATCTTGCTTGCACTTATGCTCACAACACCAAGATTACAGTTTGAAGTCCTTCAAGTTGCCAACAGAAAGAGGCAACCCTCCACATGACAAATCATCTTCACTTCTATACCAAACATAATTCCTTCCTGTTGAGAACTTACCGTCCCCGGCCGTGGATAAGGGATCTTCCCCTTGTACTCCATCCAGCGATAATCAGGGCTCTCCTTATGCGCAAAAGGCCCGTTGAAGGCGGCTCGGATGGAGGCCATGGTATAGACGCAAACGGCTGAACCTTTGAAGACAGAGCTTTTGAAAAGGAAACATGTATTAGCCTGATGCCAGGTTAGAATAACAGAGTTCCTCAAGCCTGGTGACCTTTCACCCTCCCGTTTGGCCTCGAGCTATCCATTCCTTGGGTGGGACACCGAGACGGATTGTTCTAAATGGATCGGGAGTGGGGAGGAGAGCATCCTGTGACCAGATTGTTGATTTTAGGGGTGTTTTGATACTGATGTCAGTTCATAAGACAAACTGAGATAATCAGATTTAGGTTGTTGGAATGAATAAAGGAGGTCTGAGAAACTGAAGAGTTAGTTAAATGGGAATGAGTGTGACGGATTGATTGATTTGGATGGAGCCAATGATAATTCAGGAATTGAGGTAAACAAATATAACATTGACTGGAATGTGGCTCTAACAAGTTAACAAGATTATGGGCTGGTGACCCAAAGAATGACTCATGAATCAGACTTTTCAGGTAATGAACCTACCTGGAAGTGGAGAAGACACCGTAGATGACTGGATTCTGTGGATCTTTGGTCTCCAAGAGAAATATGTCCTCTAAAAATAAAAATAAAAAATGAGAAGAAAGGACGAGGATTGTAGTCTTGAGGAATGAGATTTTGAGTTCATATTAACGTGTAATTAGAGTGTGAACATACCCAGCTCGTCAAAGTGTGTGTCCATGCCTCCAGGTCCTGGTACAGAGCACACCAGCCTGGCCTTCAGGAAGGTGCTCCAGCGATTAATCAAGCTTCGTTTTCCACCTATGTCATTCTAATGAAAACCAATAACATGTAAGACTACACTATAGGACTTTTCAAATCTGAACCAATTTTAAAACACTAGGCATCCTACACTTGCTCACTTTGTGTGAAAAACACACTGCCAGACCTTTAAGTTGTTCCAAACACAACAAACTCACGCAGAAACATAGCGCCTCATTGCTAGAAGAGGTATGACAAATGACAAAAATTTGTGTTCTAAAACTGGCTCAAAATAGCTTTTGATAAAACATTTCTGATATCTTCCAACTGGATGGAATCATAGTGTGAAACTAAATTTTTGGAATCTGTGCCCATTACTATGCAATTGTTTTTGAAATTGGTAAATTCCTGACTACCCAAAATATGCAGATTAGCTCTGACTTTCGGCAACTAGTGTCAACTCCTCCAGACTACAAATTGGGGCAAAAACCTGTGCAAAATTTGAATAGTGTTTTCCAGCCTTAAGAGATAATATGACATCACAGTATCTCACTAGCAAAAATATATTAGTAGTACATTACATTTTTATACATTACCAATAAATACAGCACAAATAAATATATAAAACATTTCAAGAATGCTCTGACATGAAAAGCCTGAACAGAAAACCTAATTTGCTAGATTTGTTGCTAGATTAGTGTTTAATTACTCTCAAACAAACCCCTCATTCATCCATTATTAGATACACAGTGCTTCTACTACTGTGCAACAGATGCTACCGAGGCTTACATGTCTATTCATTAATGTCTACAAAAGACTCATTGATTCTTCATAACAAACAAAGGTCTTTTGGATCCATTTCCTGTTTTTATTGGCTCATTACGGCATTGGACTTGGCGCTCACCTTGCAGACACGAGCCACTCGACTGTAGATACGCTTGTCGAGCTGGTTGGACTCTACAGCGGTCTCTTTGAAGAAGAAGTAGACTTTGTCATCGTCCAAGCTGTGTGTTTCAGGGATGGAATATGATCCCACAAACTCCGGCTCTGTGAAAATAAATTGGCATCAGAGTGAGGCTGGAGGATGTCACAAAAGTTAATTAGGCAGCACCAGTCACCTCAAAACAGTGGTTTCCAAGGGTTTCAGTCCATGAACCACCTTCTTATCCACTGCCAAAATTTTCTTAACCTGTATTTTGCCTTGTATTTTAGGAAAAATCACTACACATCTTTAAAACATTATACATTTTTGACTTCATGACTTTTTTTTCCCTGTCTGCTGCAAGGAGTTCGAATACAGAGTAATCAGTCACATGATATAAACATCACAGGTGACTGACTTAAAAAAAACTCTCCTCTTGGACCCCAAAAGGTAGCTGTTTGTAAATTCTGTTTAAAAATGTATCCTTTTATTATAGTGATTTCCTTTAGATAATAACAAATTATCTAAGCTAGCATCGATTTGAGTAGCTGTATGCTAATCTAACAAACTAATATGTTGATTGTATGCTAAGCTAAGAGGCTAAATGACAACTTTATGCTAAGCTAACAAGCTAATAATTTAGAAATTACTAAACTAATAGTCTAATTTGTTAGCAGTCTGCTTTGGTAGTCAGATAACTGCTTGTAAGCCAATTAAAGAAATATACTCCAAATGTTTAATTTGATCATTTACAGCTTTGGTTGTGTTACATATGATTTTAAAATGTTAATTGTCATATGTTAGACCTTCTTGCTTCCTAATTAAATTGGGAAAAACTGTGTTTAGAATTGTGATATCAACATTAATTTGGTGTTTTAACCTATCAGCAATGTGAAAGTTTATTTATCAATGAAACTTTTTAGCAATACAAATATTTTCTTGCACCCATACTAGTCTACCTTGGGAACTAAGGCCATGTTGTCTTTGCACACACAATAAAAACAGAATTTTACATTTCACTTCTCACCATTTAGCCACTGGTCCTGGTAAGCTTCAGTGCGGATATAGTGTTGATTGCTGCTATGCACAGATGTGCGAAAAATGGCAGCGTTTGTTCCCATGAAGTCTACTGACGTCCCAGCATACAGGTCCCCATCTAAAGTGAGCATTAATAGCCATTTAATGAAAATCACATTTAGAACGACTTAAAATGACAAATGATTTTTCATGATACATGGCTCATTTTTAATGATTCTACCCTCTGACTTCAGGTCCTTTGTCAAAATACTCTGTTTTACAGCAGCTTGTGTGAAAAGGAAATTTCGATAATTCCAAAGACATCATTAAATGGTCAAAAAGGTCTCCGGTTGCAGTAATAGCCTTTAATTAGGTAGCATATGGTTTATGCATTAAGGTCTTCTGGGCTATACATGCCTTAAAAAAAAAAAGAAGCTAAATATAATATAAATTTTGCAGCTGTGTTTCATTTCCTGACCACACTGTAACAGCAACTAAGCAATTTCTAAAACTCCTTTAAGTCAAATTACTTACATAGTAAGTGTCCAATGAAGACAAATATGGGTGACTAACCTGTTTACTGGGGGAACTTCCAAATTTCCCCACACAAGCTAACATCTGGCCAGGATTTATACGGATCCAATTATTAATGACTAATATGGGAGTACGTCTAACAATTGTTGTGCATGTTTTCTCAGTATTTTTGTCTACAAAGGGATCATGGGTTGTTTTTGAAGACATTGTGTTCAGGAGACTCACCTGTCAGTCGGGCGGTAAAGGGCTCCTGTGGACTGAAGGGACATTTTCCTCTCCCGGATTCTCCAATTTGGCTGAGGAGCCGGAAAGTGGGTTTCTGGCATACCAAGACAAGACTGTCACTCTCTTTGCACCATTACCCTCATTATTAGTTCAGCTCTACGGTCAATAACTCTCAGCGGGTTCCGTAGGGTCCAATTCACCCTGCAACTCCTCATTTGCACAAGATAACAAGCTTAAATTACCCTTAAAAGTGTTTACTGCCTTTCACACTGGTTGTTGGCCAAAAAAACAGAAGTTCTGCTTACCTCAAGATTGTGTCCCAGGTCAATGTAGGTGCACTGTGGGTGGAACGCACCGGTTCCACATACATAGACATGCGTTTTATTGAAGGGCTGTAGGAGTCTCACGTAATTGGCACAGTCCATCTGAGAGATACATGTGGTATTTGATTAAAAGCACGATTTGAAAGCGTTATGGTGAGGATAGGTGAATATGAAGCATTTTAAATCACACAGTAATGCACCTACTGATTTTTGCCTGTTATTGCAGGGGGGACTGATGTTAAAACTTCAGACTTACACTCCCTTAAGACTTTCCAGCTTGAAATATTCCCCCCATAGCGCTATAAATATGACTTTTCAGCTTTTATTCTTATCTCAGTCTGTGAGAGCACTTTATTAAAATAGCACCTCGAAAACTTTATTTTTTTTCCCTTTATGCCCTTTTAAAGTTACTTACCGATAGATTCTTTCCTGCATATTTGCAGCGTTCAATGTGTTCCTGTCCAGCTGGCCAGTGAATCTAAAAACAAAAGAGATAATGCATGATAAACAGAAAATAATGCATAATAAAGCAAAATGTTTCAAGCATTCAAAAATGTATGTATGTATGTATGTATATATGCATGTGTGTATATATATGTACACACACATTTATTAAATAAAATATTTTTAAAAATTAAATTTAAAATATTAGATTTAAAAATGATTTCATATTTGAAAATAGTTATTACTTAAAAAAATAAATGATTATTAAAAGTTTTCGTACACCCCTTTTTTTAATGTATTACGTTTTAAAATTTGTACATCACATACATGTTCTTGTATAAACCTGAGCTATGAGTACTGAGTTGATTAGTTCAGACCCTCCTTGCCGTTTCACCATCATTACTCAACAATCTAAATGCCTCTCAAATTGTAATCATTTCCATGTGGAAATAATGTGCAGGTATTGACCTCATCATTAGCTGGCAATCAGCACACTGTACATGATTATATAATTGGGAGATGGAGAACCTCATTAGTGCCTTAGTTCTTATGAAGATCACATATGTATGGCTGTGCCATGACCTTACGTTTGACCTCATCATTTCTTACAGGCATCTTTTGGTATTCACTATTATAAAAGACAGAATCAATTAATATTGCTGATGATTGGTGTGAAGAATTTAGGCTAGAAGTATGCAAATGTATGCAAGTAAGCTCACAATCCTGCTGTACCAGCTTTGCAAACAAACCTCCATACTGAAGGGGGCAATAGAGGCACTTTCAAATATCTGCATTATTAAACTGTGTGCTATTAGAAGCTAGCTATAAAGTCAACTAGTTTTAGCTCATTAGCTCAGTAAGAATATCCTCAAACTTGCTTTACAGTAGTGACAGTAGTTACAGTAGTACTACAGTAGTGACAGTTGTCCTGAAAACTGTAGAAAAATATCATATTCTAACGCTAGCAGCGAGGCTATCAGCACACATTGTGGTTCAAGTCGAACGTAAGTACATAGCTATAAGAGTTTTTGTTCATGCAGTGTATGTTAAACTTGAGTAGATTATGGTATGTTATGAGACCGTCATGCTGTAGAAAACAGTTTCATCTTGTCACAAAAAGTGTGGTTACGGTAGCATATACAATGAAAACCTAGCTTAAATTTTAGTTGAGTTGAATGATTGGATGTAATTTGCTGAAACATTTGCTTTAGCATTTGTACGACACCAATCTCAGCTAATATACTAACGTAACACAAGTGAATAATTAGTGTTAATGCCAAACTTAGTGATTTGCCGTGTTGCTAGTCAATTTTATTTGAATAGCACTTTTCACAATACACATTACAGAAAATTGTAATGTTAATGTTCAGATATCTTAATATCTTCATGCCTTATAATCACATTTAGCAGGTTAGGGCTTTGTGATAGTTTACATTTTGCGATAATATATATAAAAAAATCAAGCAGTTGAGATTTGCTATTTAGTGTAAATATATTGTTTTACGTGAATAATGTATGTGTGCAGATAAAACTTTACATATAGAGCTGTGCGATAATATAGTTTACATTTTGTAAGTAACTGTATAAGTGTACTACAGTATATACATTTTTTCATATACTTTTACAGACTGAGGGACGAGTCAATTAAATGTTTCTGTGCTAATCAACAGATGTACTGTATGTGGTGGAGCAGGCCATGAAAACAGCATTACAGATGTACAGATTGATGTGAACAGTAAGACATTGTAGTCATGGTCTGTTTTCACTTTAGTGACCCTTATCCTCGCGATCGGTAAATGACATCATGTGCTGTAAGATGGTGGTAGTTGTGCGCACTGACGTTGCGTGCCGGTTGGGTGAAGCTGTCAGAGTTTAGCATGTAGATGTGGTCTCGGCCTCCGACCAGCAGCCATCCGCGGTCCTCATCCAGCAGTAGGGCCTGGTATGCTCCCCTCTCTCCACCGTCCCAGAACACAGCAGAGCTGTTCCTCGACCTCAGTTCTGCCAGAAAACAACAGTTAGGTTTTACTAAAATGTGATGTTTTCAAATGTAGATGTCTGTTTAGTTGTTCTGAACAACCAAATGTTCTGGTATCACATGACCTCCTTAATTAAAAATAAGCTGCACTCTCAAAAATGAAGGTTCCAAACGGTGGTTTTCACAGTGTTACTAAAGATTAACCACTTTGGGTTCCCCAAAGAACCTTTAGTGAACAGGTTTTTCTTAGTGTGAAGAAGAATCTTTTTCCACTATAAAGAACCTTTTGTGCAACGCAAAGATTGGATGTTAAAGTTTCTTAAAGCATCAATGCTGATAAAGGACCTTTATTTTTAAGAGTGTAGAAGAACCATTTTAGGTTCTCCAAAGAACCTTTCAGTGAATCTGAGAGATACATGTGGTATTTGATTAAAAGCACGATTTGAAAGCGTTATGGTGAGGATAGGTGAATATGAAGCATTTTAAATCACACAGTAATGCACCTACTGATTTTTGCCTGTTATTGCAGGGGGGACTGATGTTAAAACTTCAGACTTACACTCCCTTAAGACTTTCCAGCTTGAAATATTCCCCCCATAGCGCTATAAATATGACTTTTCAGCTTTTATTCTTATCTCAGTCTGTGAGAGCACTTTATTAAAATAGCACCTCGAAAACTTTATTTTTTTTCCCTTTATGCCCTTTTAAAGTTACTTACCGATAGATTCTTTCCTGCATATTTGCAGCGTTCAATGTGTTCCTGTCCAGCTGGCCAGTGAATCTAAAAACAAAAGAGATAATGCATGATAAACAGAAAATAATGCATAATAAAGCAAAATGTTTCAAGCATTCAAAAATGTATGTATGTATGTATGTATATATGCATGTGTGTATATATATGTACACACACATTTATTAAATAAAATATTTTTAAAAATTAAATTTAAAATATTAGATTTAAAAATGATTTCATATTTGAAAATAGTTATTACTTAAAAAAATAAATGATTATTAAAAGTTTTCGTACACCCCTTTTTTTAATGTATTACGTTTTAAAATTTGTACATCACATACATGTTCTTGTATAAACCTGAGCTATGAGTACTGAGTTGATTAGTTCAGACCCTCCTTGCCGTTTCACCATCATTACTCAACAATCTAAATGCCTCTCAAATTGTAATCATTTCCATGTGGAAATAATGTGCAGGTATTGACCTCATCATTAGCTGGCAATCAGCACACTGTACATGATTATATAATTGGGAGATGGAGAACCTCATTAGTGCCTTAGTTCTTATGAAGATCACATATGTATGGCTGTGCCATGACCTTACGTTTGACCTCATCATTTCTTACAGGCATCTTTTGGTATTCACTATTATAAAAGACAGAATCAATTAATATTGCTGATGATTGGTGTGAAGAATTTAGGCTAGAAGTATGCAAATGTATGCAAGTAAGCTCACAATCCTGCTGTACCAGCTTTGCAAACAAACCTCCATACTGAAGGGGGCAATAGAGGCACTTTCAAATATCTGCATTATTAAACTGTGTGCTATTAGAAGCTAGCTATAAAGTCAACTAGTTTTAGCTCATTAGCTCAGTAAGAATATCCTCAAACTTGCTTTACAGTAGTGACAGTAGTTACAGTAGTACTACAGTAGTGACAGTTGTCCTGAAAACTGTAGAAAAATATCATATTCTAACGCTAGCAGCGAGGCTATCAGCACACATTGTGGTTCAAGTCGAACGTAAGTACATAGCTATAAGAGTTTTTGTTCATGCAGTGTATGTTAAACTTGAGTAGATTATGGTATGTTATGAGACCGTCATGCTGTAGAAAACAGTTTCATCTTGTCACAAAAAGTGTGGTTACGGTAGCATATACAATGAAAACCTAGCTTAAATTTTAGTTGAGTTGAATGATTGGATGTAATTTGCTGAAACATTTGCTTTAGCATTTGTACGACACCAATCTCAGCTAATATACTAACGTAACACAAGTGAATAATTAGTGTTAATGCCAAACTTAGTGATTTGCCGTGTTGCTAGTCAATTTTATTTGAATAGCACTTTTCACAATACACATTACAGAAAATTGTAATGTTAATGTTCAGATATCTTAATATCTTCATGCCTTATAATCACATTTAGCAGGTTAGGGCTTTGTGATAGTTTACATTTTGCGATAATATATATAAAAAAATCAAGCAGTTGAGATTTGCTATTTAGTGTAAATATATTGTTTTACGTGAATAATGTATGTGTGCAGATAAAACTTTACATATAGAGCTGTGCGATAATATAGTTTACATTTTGTAAGTAACTGTATAAGTGTACTACAGTATATACATTTTTTCATATACTTTTACAGACTGAGGGACGAGTCAATTAAATGTTTCTGTGCTAATCAACAGATGTACTGTATGTGGTGGAGCAGGCCATGAAAACAGCATTACAGATGTACAGATTGATATGAACAGTAAGACATTGTAGTCATGGTCTGTTTTCACTTTAGTGACCCTTATCCTCGCGATCGGTAAATGACATCATGTGCTGTAAGATGGTGGTAGTTGTGCGCACTGACGTTGCGTGCCGGTTGGGTGAAGCTGTCAGAGTTTAGCATGTAGATGTGGTCTCGGCCTCCGACCAGCAGCCATCCGCGGTCCTCATCCAGCAGTAGGGCCTGGTATGCTCCCCTCTCTCCACCGTCCCAGAACACAGCAGAGCTGTTCCTCGACCTCAGTTCTGCCAGAAAACAACAGTTAGGTTTTACTAAAATGTGATGTTTTCAAATGTAGATGTCTGTTTAGTTGTTCTGAACAACCAAATGTTCTGGTATCACATGACCTCCTTAATTAAAAATAAGCTGCACTCTCAAAAATGAAGGTTCCAAACGGTGGTTTTCACAGTGTTACTAAAGATTAACCACTTTGGGTTCCCCAAAGAACCTTTAGTGAACAGGTTTTTCTTAGTGTGAAGAAGAATCTTTTTCCACTATAAAGAACCTTTTGTGCAACGCAAAGATTGGATGTTAAAGTTTCTTAAAGCATCAATGCTGATAAAGGACCTTTATTTTTAAGAGTGTAGAAGAACCATTTTAGGTTCTCCAAAGAACCTTTCAGTGAATAGTTCTTCAAAGAACCATTGTTTTCCACTATAAAGAATATTTTGTGCAATGAAACGTCTTCTTTCAACCATCAATACCAATAAAGATCCTTTATTTTAAAAATCTATTTTACTGCATAGACTTATTTTGGAAGGATTGTGTTGCAGTTGCAGTTTGAGGTCATTGCGAGGTGGTTCTGAACTTTAAAAGATATGTAAAATAAATATGCCAATCATATGCTGAAGTGGTTTTGGCATGCTCTCATTCCAACCAACAGCGCATTAGCACAAAATTATACATGATTTCTCATATAAACACATTCAGAAACATCCACATCTCCACAACTACCCCCCTCCTCCCCCGCTGGCGCTTAAACGGGCAAAAACAACTCTCCTAATTAAAGCCAATTAACCCTCAACACACTACTTGACAGCTGCACTCCTGCTACCCACAATTCCAAGGGGAAATGAGGGGCCACAGTGGCCCACATATTCAGCGTAAGTGTGCATAATTACACACTGACAAGCAGTTTGACTAGCAGAACGTCCAGCTCATGGAGGTGTCAGGCATGTTGTGGTGAGGGGAGGATTGCTGGTAATAAACGTTGACAGGTGTTTTCTTAGCCGCACACCAAGCCTTGAGATCAATGAAAGGAAGTTGAGATGTTGCACAGGAAATAGCTCAAGGTTTAGTGACTGCATTTTTGGCTTGATGGTCTCTCTGGCTGGGTCACATCAAGGTGAAGGTGAAGTGATGCATCTGGATGTTTCTCTCTGTTCTTATTCTTATTCTTTTTTTTAAACATGGCATTAAGTAATAGTGTGTTATAAAGTTTTCATATTTTTATATCTATCTCCAGCAACATTTGCTTTCAGCCATTGTGATTTAAATGACCATTTGTTGCTTCCATGTGATCACTGTCCAATGATTTTTTTTTTTACTTGATTGGCAAATAAGCCATTTGATTTATTTAAGAAAAACTACTTGTAAACACTCTTTTAATGCTTTTTTTGCAATAGAAATAACTTACAAATTGATTTCTTAATATTGTTTTATTGTTTAAACCTAAGCAATAATTTTCAAATATTAATATTTAAAGTTTAGTTTGATTTTAAACATTTTTAAAACAATTCCTAAAGCATACAATTATTTACTTTTTAATTTTAATTTTAAATATAAATACTTGAAGATGCATAAAGTCATATTTTTGGCAATTTATTTAGTTATTATAAGTTTTATATATATATATAAAAAACACTATACTATTAACCCCTTAACTGTCACTGTCCCACCTGTGGGACGTTTGGCACTCTTTTTTGTTTGTTGTCTTTTTTTCTATCAAATCTTTTAATAATCATCATAAATCTTATATCATTTGAAAGCTTAGAAGCCCAAGATTCATCCTTTGAAACCATTTCGAAATCAGACATTGCGTTACCATGGAAATGGTACTTTAAAATCTTTTGGCGGTCTCCTCCCCCTTAGTGGGCAGTGTCAAGTGTCATATTACAAAATGAATTACGGTCTTTTAGAATCAAAACTTTTTATAATCTTGAGAAAAAACATATCATTGGAAAGGTCTGAGTCTCAGGATTCCATATTAGGGGGTTATTTTGAGATAGAAGTAATATTGACAGAGAAATCTAGACATTTGTGACAGAAAAATGCATTAAAAAAATTCAATGGAGTTTGGATGGCACCCGGTGGCTGTTTGTGGTATAATGCTCTAAATAAAATCTCACAAGAACCTAAATTTTTTTCATATCAACTTCAAATTTGGAACATAACTTATTTAGACATAAGGCTATAATGCTATACCAATTTTAGAGTAAAACCTGATTATGTGCGATATATATCGTCTGCGATAATATCGTAATTGTTGTTTTAACGATGTGCGATTTGACATTATCGAGTATTTTGCAAAAACCATTCAAAACATCCCTACAGAGCGCACGCATACATTACGTGAAGTCTAGACTAGTGCGTGTGCGCATTTAGAGAGCGTTCTTTTACTGCATGATTCAGTCTATTAAAATGCATTTGGAATGATCACAAATTCAAGACATGATGGCAGAAAATGTATATATTTATACCACTTCATATAGTTATTCAATTTCACACGAAGAGTGCCATTTTTACCATGATTACAAATGTGACATTGAATTCAATAAACAATAAGTTAATTAAGAGACTTACGTTTTAGACACCACATTGCTTGTTTTTGCTCTATTTCGCCAACAAAAATCATTCTGAATACAGCCACAGCACTGTTTTGTGTCTCTGAGCAACATGACAGTGTTTCGTTCTTGAATGAATCAACTGTTTAAATGATTCGGATCAATCGCAATGACTCACTTATTAAGAGGGATTTGCTGCCACCTACTGGCGGTTTTAATTTCAAATTTCGAAAATATCGAGATATAATTTTTTGTCAATATCGCACACCCCTAACCTGATACGTAAAATATTTATTATATATAAAATAAAATAAAATGAATATAGTGCATTTTCTTTACAGTAAATTTAAATTACTATAACTTTTTGATACTTACATTTTTAGAAAAAATTCTATAATTTGCTGATTTTCTTCTTTAAAAAGAGACCGACCTTATGTCTGTATTCCAAAGTGTTCATAAATTACAACAATTTAAGTTTGGATAGTGCACCTGCATGCCTATTTAAAAAAATGGGGATGACAGTTAAGGGGTGGAGACTTAATTTAACTGTCCATTTATTATTCAATTTGTTTTTCAATCAGATTTATTCAATTACATTTTGTTTGTTTGTTTTTAACTTAACCCAGCCTTTGTCTTGGCCTTAATTCCCAATTATTAATTAGATTTCATAAATTAAGATTTCATAAATTTTGCAATGTGCATGAAATCTCTATGCTAAAAATTAAAACAAACAATCATGATCATAATTTTAGTAGTTTTGTTATATTAAATTAGCATTGCCTAATACCACAGTTAACAGAAATATGTTCTAAGAATGTTACTTACTTATGTTACATATGAATGTTTAAAACATCCAGTTTTAAAATGTAAAAAAAAAAAAAATCCTAGTTATGCAAACATTTTATAATGTTTAACAACGTTTTATAATTTTGCAAACATTATGGGAATGTTACTTTTATGTTCACTAAATGTTCTGAAACAAGTAGTAACATTTAAAAAATGTTAGACGAACATCCACCTAAAATATTTTGAGAACGTTATTAAAGACCAAATAACTTTGAAAAAGCATTCTATTAATGTTTCTGGAGAACGTTTGTTCATAGCTTTGAGAAAACCTTGCCAGAAAGTTCTAAGAACGTTCCCTGTTAGCTGGGATATACACTGTTTATTCTAAGAAACATGTTCTGTAGTTATATGTATGTATGTATGTATGTATATATATATATATACATACTCAACACTGCCAATTAAAAAAAAGATATTCATTACTGAATAACCCATATAATCAAATTGAATGTAATTAGGATCTGTGATTAATGTAAGCCAAATGTGTTCCTGCATTGTATTTCACATCTCTTCCTGCTCCAGCTTTATCTTTTAGTTTTCATCCTCCATTAAAGCTGCACATTGCATGACTCACCATTAAAGGAATTCTTATATGACAGAAGGTGATTTCTCACGGACAACTAAAATAAATCTCATAATTGGGGCATGTTGATGCTATCCATCATGAAAGCCATTTAGCACAGAGGCCAACATACAAGTCACAGCACTTGCTGAATCCTTCCCACTGCAGCTTCCAGCGCCGCGTTATACTGTTTCCGGAAGACAGCGGCTATTCGTCAGCTTCAGAGAATTTGCTACCATTTCATACTGAGAGTTCAAACACAGGCGATCCATACTTTTTACTTAATTATTAATCGTTTTTTTTTCATGTCATGTTTATCCATTTCAGTGTTGAACAAGTCTCCACTTCCCAGTTAGTATTACTTTTTGAAACATGCAACATTAGAATATTATATTAACTATCAAAAGATATTTCGGTAACACTTTATTTTAAGGTGTACATGTACTTACTATTATAATAACAATTATTCATGTTTATTCATTCATTCAATCATTCATTTACACATTTATCACTTTAGAAAGTGGTCTTTAATTAGTTATTTAATTTTATTTAGATTTATTCTTATTTTATATGCATTTATTTGTAAAAATGAAATACAACGTAAATAATGAAAGTATTATTAATCTTTTTTTTCTTTTTATTTCCTTCTTTTTTCTTTCTTTCTTTCTTTCTTTCTTTCTTTCTCAGTTCATTTAGTAATTTATTTATTTTTTTAAATGTATTTAGACAGGTAAATAAATAACTAACTAAATAAATAACCCTATTTATTTTAGCAATTGCTCCACTGTTTTGTTTGTCTCCTTTTTACATTGTTAGAAATTATTCTTAATATTTATTTAGTTAGTCATTCTTATGTACTTTTTATTTAGAAATTATTTTACTTTATTTAATAGTAAAAAAATCAATATGAAATTGAATATTAAATTATTATAAGTATAGTCATATATTTATGTTGGTGTGTTTCTTCTTTTCTTTCGTTCTTTCTTTATTTTAATTTTATCTACAAATTATTCACTTGTAATTGGTATGCACTTTTATTTTTAATTTATATTAT